CATTATTAATCCCTAGCAAGCACTGGTTGGAAGGCTCAAGATCTTATGAGAAGATACTTAGGTGTCAAAGGAATAGCCTAACTTGCAAAATGTTGAACATTCAGTAGTTTGTATTAATTCCATCACAAGAACCCAGATGTGCATTGTAGGTTTTCTCCTTGTCTTTTGCTTAGCACACCGGATTCTGCAAGGCAAGAGTTATCAGTGATGCAGATGAAGCTGATGGAACAGATATAAGCTGTGAAATCTACCATCCCTGGGTATGTACTCATTTATGGACACATCCCTGGCTGTATCCTCATGCAGGTTGCAGCAATCTTGCTTAGTCCAGACTGGCAGATGATTGTAACATTTATGCAAATTTTTTATTGCCTGGATGTGATACAACATGTCAGGACAGACTGACCTGCAAGTCCTAGGTCAGTCAAAGGATGAATCAGAATTGAGCTGTCCCTACCACTCCTTTCAAGTGTGTCTTCTCTCAGTTTAGTCACTTGACTAAGTATCAGTGAGTAGAGATTGGCAAAAAAGTTCAAGGGAATTTTAGAAAGCAAGGAGAGGAGAGATGATCGATCTTTATCATATCTGGTATTCCAGTTCATATCACAACAGCTACTCCAGTGTGGATTTGTTTTGATCTATCACAAATACTTCTCAGCTGGTTTTATAATTTCAACATGGTGTAGTGCTTCCAGCAAATTTTCAGTAACTTGGCATTTTATTATCTATTCCTTCTCCTCCATCTCGAAAAAAATACGTATTTTTTCCTTAAAGATCATAAGAGCTACGAATGCAAACCTGCTAACTCCCACCTCTCTCTTTCTCATCAATTTCTTCTGCCCTATCAACACCTGATTAATACTTCCTCCTTGGTGTTTTTATAAACAGCACCATGGCTGTGGGCGAAGAGGGAAACATTCAGCCCTGGGACATCCACACAGACATCCCCACTGTCATCATCATTTTGGTCACAGACATCGCCATAAGCATCACCACCGACATGAATGTCCCCCCTCTTCTCAGTCCAGACCTGAAGACCCTGAGCATAACACCAAATCCAGCAAGGAAGATGAAGACAGCAACAAAGAACTTTCTTCTCCCCCTCCTCCCCATGATGAACCAGATCATCATCATCCTACTCTACCTCCTCATGGATCAGATCATGACCACCCTCCTCACCACCATGGACCACCCTGTCCCCCTCCTCATGGACCACATCATGACCACCCTCCTCACCACCATGGACCACCCTGT